AATTTCAATACCAATAACAAAAGGAGAGGATAATAATAGTACCAACTTGATAAGACTGCTCTGAGCATCAAATGACAAACTCATCAAACACTGCTTGGCTTACATTGCAATAAATGTTAGCTAATATTATCATCATAGAGATGCAAATTTCAAACTGATGCATTATTCAAATATTTTAAATCTATTATAATTACTGATGATAGAATTAGCCCCACAGACAAATATTTCCCTATGAAAAAAAAAGAATGTAAAGTTGCTCCTATCCTAAATTCCCTATTTCCTCTCGGCTACCACCTACCTCTGGGGCAAGATCAGCAGCCCTTCCTCTTTCATCCCATGGTACAACTCCATTAAGCCTTATACCAGGATGTGTTCATTGTTAGTGGCACTCACTGTCTTTCCGACCAAAGCTGCTGTGAACGACTGAAAGTCATAATTTATGTCTTACGCACCTGTTCCCACACAAACTAGAAGCTCAATTAAGGTATGTTAAATTAACGAATGTGGTATTGTAGTCAGTGTGTGTGTCCGTGCATGTGTATGAAAAACATGATCCAGTTCAGGGTTTATATTCTGTGGATTGCAATGATCTTGATAACAGACTGAGCTGCCCACCTTCTTGAAAGTTCTGATATCAAAATTAGAAAGGTAGGCAGTGGACTTCCCTGGTGGTCCAGTGATTAAGATGCCACGCTTTCAAGGGCGGGGCTTGGGGGGTAATGGAAGGTCAGCTGGGACTAAGAATGAAAGAAGGCATTCATTGAAAAAGAAAAACAAAAACTTAGAACACTTAAAGAGCACCCTGTGAGCATCAGGTAATGAACTGGATTCTAGGGGTATAAAGAACACTACATCTCTGTCTATAGCGAGCTCACAGCCACCGGGCACAGAGCAGGTAAGGCTCTCCCTCCTACTAGTTAGGTAGAGATGTTGAAGTTAAAGCTAGATCAAGACAGCTGACTCTCAAAATTCTAAATTGCAGTTCTCTTTCCACCAGAAGAATGTCTTTCAAATGCTGACAGGGCTCACAGCAAAAAAAGAAAAAAGAAATCTGTAGTACTGCGACTCACTCCAGTATTCTTGCCTGGAGAATCCCATGGACAGAGGAGCCTGGCGGGCTACCATCCATGGGGTCACACAAAGTCAGACATGACTGAGTGACTAACAACAGCCACCCACCCAGTACAAATACACATACTTCTGATCTTTTCTATTTCACGTCTTTTTTTTAATGTTCGTCCTGACACATTAAATAGGTTTATGGCTCAAAGGTGGAAAAATCCTACACTAGATTAAAACTTAAATGTCAGGCAGACAAAATTCATAATAAATAATTTTCCTCACACAATGAATATCCCAGCAAAAAAATGTAAAACACTATCAAATAATCAAACAGCCCCCCAAAGACTAACATGGAGCCATGACAGCTGTCCCTTGGGGAGTGGGAGGAAGCTAAACCTAATCCCCATCAGCCATCCAAGTAAATACCCAATCCAAGGGAAACTAGGATTGCAAAGCAAAGATAACTTGGTGCTAAGTCCCCTGGCACCTCGCTCTATTCCAGCCAGACTGTGGCCCAAAAGACTCCCCTCATCCTGCATAAGAAATTTTGGAGCTTCTAATTACAGTGAATATTTTTTAAAGGATTTTGTGTAAGAGGCTTTAATTAGATGTGTTTGGGTGGGGAACAATGTATTTATTAAAAGAAGAGAATGAAAATCATAATAATCTATTTTAAATAAACATTATTTCAAAGGAATATCTCATTGAGATTTGCCAATCTTCACTTAAACTGAAGACGAGGGAGTATGCTGATTTATCCTGGCTCTGAATAAAGCAGGTAGATGTTAATCATTAAAGAGTAGGTCTTTTGGTTTGCTTTTGAAATAAGAGAGCAAGGCAGTATACAACTTTCCCTCAACATGAGAGGCTTGGACAGCACTTGCCATTGAAAGAAATGTGATCACAACAATCATCACTACCTAGCAGCAAACTAGAGATGAAGAAACCCCAGTGTCCTCAGAGTTCTTTCAAGAAATGTGTTCCCCTGAACAGAAAATGTAAAATCAGAAATGGGCAGAGAGACCAGAAAATCCTTTTCCCTCTTCTGGGTGCACAGATAGTACTCCAGCTCTGAAAAAACAAATCAAGTACAAGGACATCTAGTTAAGTTCTTAGACTTAACTAGTCTCATCATTCTCAATCCAACAAGTGTGTTTGAGTTTAAAGGGCTCATTTTTTGTGTGATATTTGCCTCAAATTAAAGGACAATGGTATAAAACTTTAATAAATCTTTCTGTCTTCCCCAAAAGAAATGTTTAGAATTATGTTGAGAAAAACATTCTTTTATAAAGATAAAATGCACTTTTTCTAAGAAATAGGAAAAAGTCACACCTACTATTTATCAGCTCTATTCAATAGAACTTCCTGTGATGATGGCAATGTTGTATTATCTCCACTGTCTACTACAGTAGTCACTAGCTACCTAGTACTGAGCACTTGGAATGTGGTTGGTGTGAATGAGAAACTGAGTTTTAAATTTATTTCATTTTAATTAATTTAAATAGTCAAATATGGCTGGCAGCTACTATATGGGGCAGTGCAGATTACATAATCCACATAAGTCTTCAGCAACAAAGCTGAGTAATTCACTTACCTTAGACTGAATGTCACAACATGAAAATTTGATATTCTGTCAGTTCAGTTCAGTTCAGTTGCTCATACCAATATTCAATTTTCAGTTTCCTAGTTAATAGTTGGCTAATTAACATTTCAGGTTTCCTTAGAAGTGGTTTTTCAACAAAGTCTGGCAATTTTAATTCTAAAACATAAACATACTAGATATGCTGAGCAGCATTGCTTTGGCAATGCTCAATTTTCCATGTGTGAAACTTAAAAACAGGGAAAGGGGAAGGGGGGGAAAAACTCAGGCCCACCCTCTCCTTGATACAAAGGTAAGAAATGAAACATATAATCCAAACAAAGCCCAACACAACCTCCTTGTGGGTATATCTGCTCATCAACCCCTGCTTATGTTTGCTTCTTTAGACCCAGTTGTGGCTTTCAACAAAAGTCATTTCTACATTTGTTTGACCTTGTCTGTGTTCTGTTATGACCAGACTCTTGAGAAGTAGTCTACCTATAGGAAGACTATTTAAAATGCACATCAAGATATTCTATATTTAAATGAGACAAACCAATCAAATAGTCAAAAAGCAGTACCTTGAAGGAAAACAGATGCTTCAGAGAGACTAAAATATGCAGAGCATGCCAAGACCACCTTCCAAGCAGGTGGCCAAAGAAACTGCATAGTTTTATAGGCAGCAAGGAAGAGAAAGAAAATATATGCTTAAAAAATATGCTTAAATATGCTTAAAAATATACTGCAGCCTTGCTGTAGCCATAGCATAATTAACTTAAACTTCAGTCAGCACCACTGGACTCCTTACAATCTCAAGGTCAATGCCAAATTATTTTTTTCCAGCTTCTGATCATGCTAACACTTACACACAAATATTCCACAAACACACACACAGGCTCAAATGTTTCAATAATTTCACTATTTTTAAGTAGAATGAACTTCTAGAACTTATATCTAGAAATACTACGAGCTCATTTAAAACAAGCAAACTTAAGTATACTGTGCAAAGAACAAACCACTAGTACCGCATAGCATATCGGGGGAAGCTCAGACTCCACAGAGCAAAGCGATTCTATGACAGCAGTGCAGCACAGGTAAAAATTCAGCACCATAAACAAAAACTTCATTTTTACTTTGTTTTCTTTTCTCTCCTGCTACCACCAAGTCCCCCCAGAGAGGACCGGAAGTTCACCTACCATATCTAAAGACCACTGGAATCTCAACAAGACACATAGCAAAGAAGCAATGCGTATACTATCCCCAGGGCTTGGGTCTTGCAGAATAATAAATGGCATTGCCAGAAGGAGAAAAGGCTTCATCTGGGGCAACTAAGAGTACTCTAACCTAGCAAGAGACAATCAGACTCCATAAAGGCTGTGTGCTGTCAGTGCCCTTGGCTGTGTACATAAAATCTGCAGATGTCGCCTGGACAGGAAAGAGGGAGACAGAAAATTTTAAGTGGGCATCTGCGATGCTGTTCAACCCTGAAAGTACCCTGCTCACTCCTCCAAGATATGAGCTACAGACTCCACCGACCGCAGCATCTGTGGCACTATCTCTAAGGAGCTTATCAGTTATAAAATTCTATGATAAAGCCTCAATGTCCAAGACAAGGGCCAGAAACCTCAATGCTTTTTTCGTTACCCTACTTTTTAGAGGGGAAATGTCAAATAAATATAATAGTACACAATTTTCACAACCGGGGCACAAGTTCTCAAAGTACGTAAGGCTTATGAGCAGAAAATAAACACTGTTTCTCATTCAGTTCTTTAAAAGTTCGCTTTAGAATAGCATTACTCTTGCAGAAATAAAAATCTATTAAAAGACACTCTGAAGCTACATTAGCTTAACAGGGATAAAACTTACATTTAATATTCTAATATAGAATTATCAGATAAGATATAGATTCTAGTAAACAAAGGAAACATACATAACAGAAAAAAAGCCACCCTTTGCTTGGCTTCAAATGTGAACACAAGTACAACACACCATTAAATGAAACAACTTTTATTAAACTATCTTAGCACAAACATGGCTCAGTACTTTTTCTTAATGCCCAATGATTATGAGCTAAACATCGTACCTCTTCATTTTATAACTTCTGAAGTCCTATAAAACTCACTCCTACTCTTCTAGGACAGCTTACACTGATGGGTTTTAGTACATGTCAATCATTAAAAGCCATTATTTAAGGAATTTATCAATATATAATTATGAAATTATACTTCTGAAAATATCATCCTTTCTCAATTAGGATTCTTTAAAAAAAACTCAATAGAATTGTTCTCTGTGTTTACAATAGTCAAAGCATCTTCCACTTGAAGTGTAATATACATTTAAAACATGGCTCCTGATTTAAGGCAAACATTACACATGTTTAAATATGCATTTTAAAAACTGCTCATGCTCTTACCTGTATATCCAGCATACCATCCCCAAGAAGCCACCATTCCTAAAAGCCATTTGTACATCATTCCTTCAAGGAACCAGAACCGCTTGCTGTCCAGCAGTCGAAGGGGCAGAAGCACTATTATATAGCAGACGTAGGATGGAATCGCAACCAGGTTGTTGGCGACCATGAAGGCAAACCTCATCAAGGCTTTCACCAAGATCCAGCCCAGCCACGGAGCTTCTTCCAGAGTCACAGCCATTCTCACATCGAAGTCTCTCCCGTCTTGCTGAGGCGAAAAGAAAATTCATTTAGAAAAGAAAACGGAGTGGACACATCTAGACAGTCACTAACAAAGAAATCACCTCCGGCACAAAAACAAATAAAAAAAAAAAAAAGAAAGAAAAGAAAAAAAAAAAAAGAAAATCGAGGATCTGGAGCTTTTCCCCCGCGCTGTAGTACCTCAGTGATCCGTCCGGGAAATTCCAGAGGGGGACGGACAGCCAGCGGAGGAGGAGCCCCACAAGGTCAAGGGAGCTGTTCACGGAGGCACAGGCTATGTCATAATATATTTAGCAAATGATAACACTACTCCCACCAACTCCTCAGCGGCCGGCCCGCAACCGCGTGTCACTGCAGTCTTCCGTTGGACTTTGAGGAAGAAGCACAGCGACCTGCCTCACACGCCTTCGGCAGCTCCCTAACTGACAGGAGTGAAGAGAAGGCTGAGGCGGGCACCTCTCGATGCACATCGGCACCCTCACCACCACCCTTCCGCACTGATTCATCCTTTAAAACGGTCTCTCGCATTAGCAGGGGAAAAAAAAAGAGTTACGCTAAAATGGTTCATTTGCCGCAAATCTGGTCTGGCGTTCCTTTTTTCTTAGGTGTGTGGAGGAGGGTAGGGGAAAGAGGGGGGCAGGAAAGCGGGCAAAAGGGTGAGCTGGTGAGAGGAAGAAAGTGGGCGATAATAAGGCGAAAAGGAGGAAGAACGGGAGTAGGGGGAGGGGAGCGGCGGCGGCGGCGGCTGCAGGAGGCTCAGAGCCCGGGATGACGAGCCCCGTCCGCGGCCGGAGCGCAGGGGAGCCGGGGATGATGAAAGAAGCGGGGAAGAGGCGACCGCGGCGCTTCAGTCAGGGGGGCGGCTGGGGCCGGCCGCGGGGTCCGAGGTGTGGGAAGGGTCGCGGCCGGGCTCACCTCAGCTGGCTCGGGCGGCGGGCGATACAGCGCGGGGACCGGCGGGGCCGGGGGTTACCCGGCCCCCGGCGGCGCCGAGACTCGGTCCCCGGGGCCCGGCCGCGTTTCGCCGGGGCTGGCGGGGAGGGGCGGCGGGGAGGAAGCGGCGGGAGTCGGCACTGCTGCAGAGCCGCCCCCAGAGCGCCCTCTAATGAAGGCGCGGCGGCCGTCGTCCGCCCGCCCGCTCGCGCCGCCGCCGTCGCCGCCGCCGGGGATCCCGCTGTCCGTGGGTCGAGGCCCTTGGGGCCCGCCCGGTCCCGAGGCCGGGACCTGGCTCAGCCCGGGACCGAGGAAGAGGGCCGCTCGGAAAGATCTAGTAACTAGCTCCAGCCCTTCCACCACACGAGAAGGATTTGGTCCAGATTTAGAACCGCTTTTCTGCCGAAACAGCGGTTTTTCATTGTGAGGGCTCTCTCTCTTCTTGACAAACCCGATCACTGCCCAGATTGGGAAACTGTCCTCCTCGAAGACTGAATGCCCTCTTTTCTTTCCTAATGAAACCCAGCTGCTCTCACGGCTTTTCTTCTGACTCTCTCCAGAGGATTAAGGTCTAAAGTTTAAAATCAATTCATGTTAAGTGCCAGAACTCTTGTTCCTGGAAAGCACATGGAACATTAATGACAGTTCCAATGTCCCATCCATCCTCCTACCCCCTACCACCCCCCCCAAAAGAATCCAGTGGGAATGAGTGGTCTACACAGAGACACTAAAATTTGGTTAGTCAAGGAGGGAAAAGCAGGTAGGTGGTGACTGTCATTGAACGAGTGCTCAAAAATTCGTGTCCATAGGTACCCCTGGACAGGGCTGGGTCATTTCCAAGATACTGTAGTTGCAAAGGCTGGACCACCAGAAGAAAAATAGAGAGAGAGCCCAACGACCTTCCCACCTACACATTGTCATATGGCCTACTGTTGCTGCTGCTGCTAAATCGCTTCAATCTTGTCCGACTCTGTGCGACCGAAAATGGCAGCCCACCAGGCTCCTCGGTCCCTGGGATTCTCCAGGCAAGAATACTGGAGCGTGTTGCCACTTCCTTCTCCAATGCATGCATGCATGCTAAGTCACTTCAGTCGTGTCCGACTCTGTGCGACCCTATGGACAGCAGCCCACCAGGCTCCTCTGTCTACGGAAGTCTCTAGGCAAGAATACAGGAGTGGGTTGCAATTTCCTTCTCCACATATGGCCTACTAATTTTCGTTATTTTTTTTTTAAAAAAGTTTTAAATTTTTTTTTTTTCCTTTATTCCCTTTTTTAATTTGGGGGGGGGGGCCTTTTTTTTTTTTCCTGCTCCTGGTGAACTGCCATATTTAAATCAGAGTGCCACTTACTCTTCCTACAAAATGTTTATCACTGTGTTTGCTTTGAACTCTCAATGGCCTCTTTCTTTCTTTCAGTCCTTCAGCTCCTCTTTGGCTCACAGGTGAAGGGAAGAAAATTCACCTTAGGGACATGTGAAAGATTATTTCCTATTCCCTTGGGTGATGAGAAAATATGAAAGCACAGGGCCTGGCTGGAATAGTTGATTAGATTTCTTTCCATTTATTATTAATTTGTTTTTATTTATAGATGTTGTTTATTTCACCAATATTATATTCTAACTTTACAGGGCATAAAAAGGCACAGGCCATGTCTGATATCTTTCTGTATAAGTTCAAGTGATGAATAGCAATAGACAAGTTAAATATGACCATTCTATTCTTTGTATCAATGTTTCCTTTGAGAATTTAGGTGCCAAGTTAATAGCATCTTAAAGTAAATCTCATGAGAAAAATAATATACGTACTGTTTATTGATTGTTTAAAATATGTCATAGTATTACTAAGTGGGTAAGATAGGTGAGACACATATTTCTTCTGAGAATCAAGAGTAAACTCCCCTAAGATTACATTAGGTCCATCCCATTCAGCATTCCCCACAGGCTGGCAAATGCTGGCTGACACCTGGGGAGACATAACCTACAATGTGATCTGTACCTGGTTTTTGGATTACAGAGCATCTGCCAGAGCTCCAGATACACCAGCACTTGCTGAGATGTAATTAGTATCAATCAGTCATGCCCAGAAAAGGGTCAGAGGTTGGGGAGGACCTTTCACAGCAGGTGTCAAACTTTAGTGTGCAGAAACATCACTTATGGTGCCTACCAAAAAGAGAGATTCTTGAACCTCATATCAGGTTCATACTGATATGAAATCAAATTTTCATACTCTAGGTTCAGAGGAGCTGGAGAACCTGCTTTAAAACAAAAAACCAAAAACCATAGGTGGTTCTAATGCAGGCAGAGTAGGCAGATCTTGCTTTAAGAAACTCTGACTGAGAAGTATCCTGAGATAATCACCTTTTCTTGACCTTTCATGATTTTAAATAATTCAATCATATCTGTTCTCAACTATACTAGTTTGCTAGGGCTGCAATACAAAATATCACAGACTAGGGAGCTTAAACAACAGAAATTTATTTCTAGCACTTGCAGAGGCTGGAAATCACAGATCGAGGTGTTGGCAGGGTTTGTTTCTTCTGAAGCCTCTCACCTTGGCTTATGGATGACCATCTTCCTGTGTATTACCATAGTCTTCTGTCTGTGTGCGCAGGTGTCTGGTGTCTGTCTTGTGTCCCAGTCTCTTCTTTCCAGGACACCAGTCCTTATACTAGTCCTGTTGGATTAGCACCTACCCTAATGACCCCATTTAATTTAATTACCTCTTTAAAGACCCTGTCTCCAAATACAGCCAGGTTCAGAAGTACTGAAGGTTATGAATTCAAAATATGAATTTTAGGGGGACAAGATTCACCCATAACATCCTCCTTCTACTCTTTGGTGGTGGTGGTTTAGTCACTAAGTCATGTCTGACTCTTGTAACCCCATGGAATGTAGCCTGCCAGACTCTTCTGTCCATGGGATTCTCCAGGCAAGAATACTGGAGTGGGTTGCCATTTCCTTCTCCAGGGGATCTCCCTGACCCAGGAATCGAACTTAGGTCTCCTGCATTGCAGACAGATTCTTTACAGTAGCTTTATGGAAGGGATGTGGAAACTCTAACCTTGATTATTTCAGCTGGTCTCCTCTTGACTGATTCCAACTCCATTAGACTTATCCTGAAGCTAAATATATAGAACAAGACATGGTGTTCCAGGTGTAGATATGCCCTGTTTTATTGCCCAGAGTGATTGAGAGGGCTTATCTTTTTAACACTTCTGACCACAGCAGTGTGTTTAGCTTCCAGACAATTCAGTACCTACAGTGGATAATTTGGGCTGGCTTCTTCAGGGAACAATTTCAGATGATGCTTATATTTATTTCTTGTATTTCATATTTCATTTAAGATATATGTTTTGTATTCTCTTGAAAAGTGAAAGTGTTAGTCACTCAGTCGTGTCTGACTCTTTGTAATCCCGTGGACTGTAGCCCACCAGGCTCCTCTGTCCATGGGATTCTCCAGGCAAGAATACTAGAATGGGTTGCCATTCCCTCCTCTAGGGGATCTTTCCAAACCAGGAATTAAGCCCGGGTCTGTATTCTCTTACCCTACATATAATACCTCCCTCTGGCCTACATTTTTTTCCTCCACCATCTTTCAACTTACTGAGGCAGACTTCTGTGATGTTTCTATAGGTTATTTCCACAATACCACAGGCAGACAGATGTGTAAAGGCTCTGAACAATTTTAACAAGAAGATTAGGATGACCAGTTCTTCAGGACAGAAGATCTGTAGAAAGCAGGGGCCTTCTTCAAAGATTAACTAGCCTCCAGTCCCCTCTCCAGCTACCTTAGAGCTGGCTTTATCAAAACACAAACATAAATTGAGAATTTTGCAACCTTTCTATATAGTACAGCCCAATAGGGGAAGAAGGAAAACATAGAGACACCACCCTATAGCCACAGGAGTTATGGTTTCAGTTTCAAAGCTCACATTTGAACCACAAGAGGATGGTCCTTTGAAAGAGAAATATGACTTCTTACATTTCCAGGAGTCTCCAGACATTTTAAAACGATTTAACCATGACACCCAAGAAGGTTTAATTCCATCCATCTGGTCCACATGCGCACAGCAAATTAGGTTATAACCAAGGAGGGGCTCCCTTGGGCTGAAGAATCCTTCTGGGCCCTCTCTTTTTCCTGGTGGCAATTAAAAAAACATTTCAGCTACCTGTGCCAATTTCCACACTAAAGCTCCACTGAACTAATTCTCTCTAGGGTAAACCCAACCAGCAGTTTCATAAACATTCAGTGACTTGACAAAGACCCCCACATCACTAGACGCAGTTGCAACCTAGAAATTAGCCCCTAAGACAGTCATGGATTCTGAGCATTGTCAGATTTAACTTCAGACAAAAAGGGAGATACATACATATCTTGAAAAGGAAAGTGAAGCTTGAAAGGGTTAGTCTCTCAGTGGTGTCTGACTCTTTGCAACCCCATGGACTGTAGCCCAACTGGCTGCTCTGTCCATGGGATTTCCCAGGCAAGAATAGGAGTAGGTTGCCATGCCCTTTTCCAGGGCATCTTCCCAACCCAGGGATCGAAGCTGGGGCTCTTGCTTTGCAGGCAGATTCTTTACCATCTGAGCTACCAGAGAAGCCTAACACATATACATCTACATATATATGTATATGAAATATACCATATATAATTTTTCTTCTATATTAGTATCCATAATATTTTATATGAAGTATGTTAGGGCTTGTAACCTTACCATTTTTTAGATAAGACTTGACAGCAGCCTTATTTAAGCCATTTCAGCAACTCTTTTTATTAACAAGATTGACTTTATTTTTTTTTTTAAGATTGACTTTAAACAATACTGTGAAGTAAACAATTTTCTCTTCCTTCCTATGTCCCTCTCCTCTTCAATTAATTTCCTTTTCCCCTCTTGATACTGAAATGGTCCCTAGTTTCCAAGGGGCACTGAAGACCGCATCTAAGACCCCCACTCGCAACAGACAACTCTCTAAGCTAGAGCCTGTTTTCTTGCCTATCCAACATTGCATTTCAGCCCTGTCTTTCTTGT